CGTGAAACTTCGTTGGGCTGTGAGGGGAGAAGATAAAACTGTTTCTCCAGGAGCATCTGCGTGCGAAGCTGAAACGTCTACAGAAATGACAAATCTCGCTTACATTGATGTGCAATATGTCGGCTCAATCCGCGGCTTGCTTCACGTCGTTCGTTGCGATGATGAGTTGAGAGGCACGAGGTCGCAACCATCCCTCATCCGCAACGGATGGGAGACGCATCGATTCTACATCAACCGATTTAAGCAGCCAATGCGTAACATGAGGTACTCCACTGCAGACCAGCATGATCACAGACCTCACGACTCGTAATGCTCCTTCTACTTAATCGCAGCCTTAGCACTGCAATCGGAACCGCTGGGACAACTCTGAGAATACGGACCGCTCGTCAAAATCTTGAAAAGACACTGACTGAGTCAATCGAGACAAAGAGCGTCCCACAATGTCGATCGTGATAAAGTGTTTTAATGCCTCCCCGCTCAAGAGAGCTGATGTAATCAGGATGCAAGATTCTTCAGAAAGCAAAATGCCTGGCAGTTGCAAAAATCATACACACATGCACCTGCGTACACGTGAGCAGCCATAAACATTTGCCAAACTGTCCTCAAGCTGCACACACAATCCCATTCCCTATCGCATTGCCTTTCTCGCTGTGACGTTCTACGCAATAACAACTGTACCACTTGTAGAAGCTCGGTCAACATTGCTCCGCGGCACATCCACAGAAGCCTCAACAAACCATTCCCGATTCCCGCATCGCCTCCCTCCTTCTTTGGTCTTACTCAGCGCCAGCAAACTATGGCCCCCGCGCACCCCTCCTCTCTCTCCCCCTCCTGAAACGCACCATGTCTGGTCTTCCCAATCGCAGCGACAAACCCCGAAACCCCCCCGTTCCACACTCATCCTACTGTTGCTTGGTACAGTACTATCACTCGTGCCAGATGCGAAATGCTACCAGTATACACACGCCCTCAATTCCTCTAGATCAGCGCCGCATGTATTTCTCCCGTCTTTCTCGATGCACACGTCGCGCCTGGACGCCACCCGATAGACTTGCAGGAAAAATTGGAAGGGCTGAAAAAGTTGTTGTCTCTATCCCGCATGTGAACCGGGCGAACTTGGATCGCATTCACTCAGCGCCGTCGCGCAGCTCTTTTTAGGCTTGTCTCGCCTTCCTCTGACGTGCCAACGCGCTCGTCGCGTGCGGCAATGGTCGTCGACTACAGAAGGGCTTCAAATAAAACTTCCAACTTTACTAGCGTAAATTTGACTATAATATTTCGCAATTAAACTATCGCTACATAATTCTGTAACGGTCATGAGCAATTTACTCCAGCAAGAATTTTCTGCCGGCGTAAAGCTTGAGTTAGTGCCTCAGGCAGGCGCAATTTTCTGCGGTGGAGTAGTCTGGCGAGGACGAGTACGTACGCAGCTTCGCCAATCCTCCTGAGGTCTGAACCTCAGGTCCGTCGGCGCACCACTGTTTCGGCCTGCCTGATGACTGTGGGCCACCGGTGGGGGAGGCTGGATGAGAAACCGGAGTCACCGGTCCGGAGAAGCAAGCGATTGCGGCGTGGCCTCGCTTCCGAGACCAGAACCGTGGCTGATTGCGGACTTCCCTCAGTGGCTCGTAAAAGGAAAAGAGCCAACCGCGGAAGCCACGGAATCTCAAGCCATGAGCCCGAGAGCAGAGAGGGAGATGGTAGCGCTCTCGACTTGAGCGCGGCGATCCCGACGCGGCTAGACAGTGAAATCGGGCCTCTGGCCACCAACGTGGCACTACACTCGCATTCTACGGTCCCCAACCTCAGTCGCGTTACGGATGTCCTTCCCCCGGACCGAAGTTCTTTGCCCCCCGCTGTTGTCGCCGGAGCGTCGACTGGCGACACGGGCGCAGGTGTCGACGCAGCTGTACTGCAGCGGCAGATTGCATCACTGCTCAACCGTGAGAGAGCGAGGGCTGATGAGCAACACATTTATATGCAGACAATGCAAGAAGTGAAAAAGCTACAAGGTGATAAGATCAATTCGTTAATGATCGAGGTTGCTCGGCTGAATGCGCAGGTGATGGAGCTCTCGCATGCCAAGGCTGCGCTGGAGGTCCTGGTTGCAGGTTCATCTCGTGGAGGACGCCAGGCTGCCGCCGCTGCCAAGCGCGCAGTCATTTCGACCAAGAAGAAGCGTCAAAAGGACGCGGCATTCCTTGACACAATCACCCCGCTTCAACGCGACCTTGTCGTAGTGATGAAATATGCCTCTGATGACATTGCGCGTCGTTGCATGCGCAACTTTACTCCGATGGAGCAGTCGCCAGGAATTGCAGACTATCGGTGGGTTCCCTCGCCTCTGAAGATCGCTGAAGGCGATGGGATTGGACCGCTGGGAGGCGGCACTCGAGCGGCGGTACCACTACTCGATGTGGCGAAGCTAGGCATTACAAACGGCGCACTTCTACCGCCGCAATTGTCTCCTACCATTCTGGCTCGCACTGCATACAAGATGGCTCTCGAAAGCGGATCGCTTTCCAGTGCTCTGAGAGCAGCATCCAAGGAGGAGATTTCGGGCGCGTGCATCTTCAATGGCATTCAAGGGGCATCTAAGCTCTCTGCAGAGGTGGCTGACAAGGCGCTGTCATATGTGTTCAGCCTCAAGCGAACGATTTGGACCAGGGTGGCCAAGGTGTGGGACGTCAGTTGTATTCCGGTTCAAAACAAGCTGAAGAGTGCCTCAGTCGACTACATCATTCATGCTCTGAACAATGCTGCTGGCGAAGACGTGAAAATGATGGGAATTTCGTTTGCAGATGACGACAGCGGCGGGATCGACAAAATTATGCGAGCATGTATTGACTGTATTACCTCTGGTAGCCTAGACCACTGGCGTACAGTGGTGCCGCCTGGGCATTCAGAGAGCGATAATATTGGAGAGAGTGGCGTTGACATCTTGTTCGTTTTTGACACCGCTCGGGATATTTACAAGGAGTGGGCTGGACTACGACTGGGAAAAGAGCGCCTCAGGGCTGGCGTAGCATCAATTTTGACGCTCGCTCCCCTCGATGCCTGGATCGCGACGCGCTGCGTAATGCAGGTGGCACTGGCGAGGACAGCGCTGGGCATTGCGACAAAATTATCCGACGATGGTGCAGAGGAGAGCGATATACACTTTGCGTTGCTGAAGGTTCTGAGCAAAGGTGGGGTTTCGCACGCCATGTTCACTGACGTGCTTTCAGATTTGTTACCGAAAGCAACGCTGGGTATTCACGAAACGTTGCGCGAAATAGTTGAGAGGGTTGCTCCAGAAGAGCTGGAGAAGACTCTGATCTCTGATGCCAGCGGGGAGACTTTTGAGCATGCAAACAATACGAGGGAGATAACCTTTTCGTACGTCTGCCCGTATTCGATAAAGGAGGGCAAGGACTGCGACCGCGTCGTTCTCAGACCTTCAGCATTCAAGAAATATGTCTGCGATTGGATCGGAGATGTGTGCGATGGCTTTGTGGGCGTTAGCGAGCTCACGTCTTCCCAGTTTGATCCGATAAGTTTCGACGGCGAGGGGTAGTACCCAAACCTGGAGGCTTGTAATAGAACGTAAATACTAGTGCTATACCAAAAAGGTTCGAATAGTACACAACAATAAATTCCCGGCGATCCGTCCGTCTGTGCCTCCCCCGAACAACCAAGCATTTCTTGCGCTAGCATGTTCAACGTAAATTGCGCCGCGCCCCACATCCCGCACTGTAAGAGCGAACAGCAGACGGGGGCAGTGACGGTGTCTTCTCATACCTTAGACGACGTCGAAGCCGCACAGCATGACCTGGACGAAGCAGATGAGCATGGTGCCCAGCTTGCCCACATCGCGAATCGTAAAAAAATCGCCACCGAAGCTCAAAGTATTGTTGAAGGTCGCTCTCTGTGCATGGGATTGCTAGCGGCTACAGGCACGATTGTGCAACAGTGCAGGCGGATGATTTCAAAAAAACCAGCATGTCGTAATTGTTTGCAACATATATCGAAAAACAGGTTGACGTTTTCGGTTGGCAGGTAGTCGGGGTCGGACACCTCTTTCGTTTCCCACACCCGAGCTCGCCACTGCTCATATATCACCATGCTCGACGCTCCGATGTTCCCTAATGCCGGCACGCCTTCCATTGCCACAGCTACTCAGCACACACAAGTGTCAAGGTACTCCCAAGAATGATCGATTCGAGCCTTTTCTGGCAGCTCATCGTCGTACAGCCATAGAACTTGACTACGTTGACCAAAGAAGAAGCACGATGAAAACGTTCAGTTCCGTGGACGAATGAAATACTACGTTAAGATGATCAAACATGGCACGAGCTACAGAGAAGATCTTCTTATCAAACTTCACAGCAGTCGGAAGAAAATGGTCAAGCCAACTTCAGGAGGTTGTTGAGTTCAATTTCATTGGGGAAGTCGACGGGAGGTGTTCCAACACTGCGGTTAAGCAGAGAGATAAGTACGCATCAAAAAGTAGATGGAGAGAGAGATCGAACTGAGGACCTACGTGCGATTGGGGATCACGGTCATATCGCCGCGATGGTGAGCCTCGGCACACCACTGGAGAAGGGAGCAGACGGGGTCGACATGAATGCAGTCCGTGCTGCATAGTTGTACGAAAACGCGATCGACAAGAATGACGTCAGCGCGATGGTCGCTCTCGGCTTGCTGTTGTAGAAGAGCGCAGAGGGGGTCGATAGGAACGCGGCTTGCGCCGTGTAGTTGTACGAACGTGCGATCGAAGTAGACCTGTGTGTCGACGCGATATACAAGCTTGGCAACGTAATGAGGGATGGGAACGACGGAGTTGGGAAGGATGGAGCGCGGGCTGTCAAACTATAGAGGAGGGCGATTGAGGAACAAGATCATGTCCATTCTATATTCAATTTCGGCACGCTGCTGGTATATGATGTGGAGGGATTCGAGAGAAACACGGCATAGACAAGTTCGAGCGTGCGATCGAGAAGGGTAATGATGTCGCTTCGATGGTCAATCTCAGTCTCTTCCTTCACAAGGGCACTGAGGGAGTCCAGACGAACGCGGTTAACGCTGTACGAATGGGAGATGGTGCATCTCGGCCTCCTACTGCAGGACGGCGCGGGGGGGTCGTGAAGAACGGGGTTCGCGCCTCAGAGCTGTACGAGCTTGCGATTGACAGGAGGGACGATGTGCATGCATTGGACAATCTTGGTCTGCTGCTACACCACGGCACGGAAGGAGTGGAAATGGACGAGGTCCGCGCTCTGGAGCTGTACGAGCGTGCGCAGCGGTAACACTAAGTTGAATCTGGCTCTACTCCTGACGGATGGAGAAGATGGGGTTGCAGAACGCTGCGCGGGCTGCGAAGCTGCTTGAGGATGCGATTGAGGAAGACGGTATGATGCATCTTGGCACGCTGATGCAGCACGGGGCGGACGGGGTGGGCCGTAACATAGGGCAGGCGGCATGGCTGTATACCATGGCGATTGAAAAAGACGGAACAACGGAGTGGCTCTGCGTTGTTGCGGGCGCTAGTAGCTCAGGCGGTATGGAGAAATACGACTCTCAGATTATTCACGACGTGCTCGACTTGGACGAGACCGATGTCCGAAATCTCATGCGTCCCAGAGTTGACGCCGTTGCTTTTACGGTTACCAGCACTTTGACTGAGCTGCTGGAATAAGATTTTGAGTCTCACTACAGACGGATGCCTGTTTTCGAGGATAAGATTGATAATATTGTGGGGGTGGCAATGTTAAAATCGCTGTTACGCAACTGGCGAGGTGGGCTACGCGATGCGGTGGGTAAGCATGTTTCTTTTCAATCGGATGTTGAAGGAGAAGCATTTCGGGGTGAATTATCGGTAGAGCTATCGGACGTTCGTGGGAAAGTTGCTCAGGTGCAACCTGCACCAGTTTTACGACGGGAACAGGGCAGAGTGACACTGAGAGGATGCGGGGGATTTATCAGCGATACGACGAGGTGATCAACCTGTATGACGCTGGGGAGCTAATGCGCTGGATCGGGAGGTACTTGCGGAGGGAGAACGTGTCGGCGAAGAGCAGGGACGGGATGGAGGGCGAGCTGGACGAGAGGCAGCTGTACGAAGGGCTCATGGAGCGCGGAAGGGTCGGCGGAGACAAGAGGTCGACGGCGTTGCGCGCCACCAACTCGGCGTGCGTCTCGATGACGACGTGAGGGATGAGCGCGCGATCTGGCGGTGCAGATCGGCTGTCCTATCAGCTCCCCCTGCACTTTGTGCACGAGCCAGCCTCTTCTCCGCGATCAACTTTGCCGGCGCGACGGCAGCGGCGCGCGTGTGGGGCAGGCGCACCGCGAGCGTGTGGCACGTCTGCGCGGACGACGGAGTCTTGGGCGCAGCTGTCGCCGTGCGGGTGGAGACGCTTCTGCAGCGCGAGCTGACGTCCGGAAGTGGTGGAAAGCGGAACAGGAGGTTACGAAGAGGGGGGAGGCTGGGCTGCAGGAGTTGCAGCACCCCCTGTTGGCAGAGGAGCGTCGGATATTAAATGCTGGGGCGGGCAATGCCTCGACTGCAGCCACGTGTAAAACTGCGCCGGGCAGGAATTTTATTGAATTGCAAGGGTGGGCGGTGGGCCGATACAGAAAAGTTCATTTATTTCTCTAACATTATACTCTGTCTTTATTTTCACTAATCAAGGGGGGCCGATGCACAGGGGGGCCGATACTGTAGCACGAAATCGTCGGATATAAATTGGTTGGAAATTTACTTCTGGCACCGCCAGAAAGGTCGGTAGTCGTGCGCACGCAAAGGCGGGGCGATGGAGAAGGGGTTTCAGCAGGGGTGGTGTGCTTCGGTACCACTCCCCTGCTACCCTTTTCTTTTGGTCGCGAGTTCAATTCTGCATGAATACTGATAATAAATAAATAATTTGTTGAATTTTAAATAATGTTTAGATTAATACATAATTTGTAGATTTACACAATTTTAATTTTTGGCAGTGTCTCGCTGCCAAATCTCATGAAGATTCGAACGTTGAGACGTTCTTCGGGCAGTACACGGATCAAGAAAACGGACTTGGCAGTGAGCGGAGCAGCTCAAGACCCAACGATCGATTTTACAAGTCTGGGGACAATGGGGCTGCGAAAGGTGCGTCAACCAAGTCTTCTCGAAACGGCGCGCAAGCTGAGACTTCCTTCGTACTGTAAACTACCCCCTTTTCACTACGAAACGGAAATTATGGGTTGGTTCATCCCGCACGAACTCCAAACACTTGTAGTATAATGACCGGAGCGAGCGCGCGGAGGTCATCGTACGGCCGTATACGGTATACACGTGGGCGGCTGTGCCCACGTGTAGCGAGCGCGCGCGCATGCCGAGCGGTCGTAATCTGGCGCACGTGTACAGTAGTGCACGTGTCGTCCGAGCGGTAGTCTACGCGTGTTACGTGTGCGCGTTAGCACACGTGTCGTCCGTGCGGTAGTCTGTAAGCAACACGCGTGTACAGTAGTGCACACGTGTAGTAGCAGCGTCCGTGCGGTAGTAGCAATTATGGCGCTAGTTTTTTAATTGTGTACAGTACCCGGCACGCACTAGGCGGCAGGTGCTGTACTACTGTACTGGGACAGGTGTCCGAGACGTCCCTCTGGGGGGTTAAGACCTGGCACCCGTCCCCACCAGTAAACGGGGGCAAGCTCGCCCCCGTCCCTTTTGCGCCTACGTACGTCCGTTTTGGGTTGTCTGTCGCGCGCGCTGGCTTCTAACCCGTTACCGGTCGCTCCCGTTCACGCACCACGGGGCGACTGCGCGTAACCGACCAGTGAGCCACTCCCTTTTCGCGAGCTCGTCCGATCGGTTCAATTGGCGCGTCGCGTCCGCGTCGCGTGCTCCCTCGCTAAAGCCTCCGCCTCTCACCCAACCCAGGGCGGAGAGGAATTATCCCACATTTGGTACTCTTGTGGAGGGGATAACTCTCGAGGTTGAGCCGCACGCGTGGTCGCTCGATCGCGCGCAGAACCGTACGGACGGAAAGGGTTGAGAAATCACCGCGTCGATCGCGAAGCGTATTCGACGATGAACCGACCGGAAGAAGGGGGAGACTCCGCCTCCGGGCGTCTGAGCACCCGCAGTGGCAGTGGCGCACCGCGCCCCCGGGTGGAGAACCCGGAAGCCCTGCTGCGACCGCCACCGCGACCGGGCCGCACGCGAGCGTCCGCATCGGATGTTACGCCGGCCGTGTCGGCAGGCACCGAGAATCGCGTCCAATGGATGGTCGACGCGATTCAGCCGCGCATCCAGGCCTGGGTCGAGGAGTTCCTCGCTACGGAACTCCCCCAGGTAGCGCGCGTATGCCTCGACCGAACGGTGCCCGCGCTCGTGGACGCGCACGTACGCAGCGCGATACCACCGCTTTTGGACGAACTTCTACCCGCTCAAGTCCAATGCGAGGTGGTGACCGCGCTCACCACTGTGGATGAAGAATCCCCGTCCGGTACGGCTCTAAAGGGAGCGATCAGCTCCGCCGTGGCCAATCGTCTGGCCACGACCTTCGCCGGAGCAGGAGTCGACGCACGCGAGCAGCGCGACTCGACCGCTCCGGATCCTACGCTAACGCACGCTGAACCGATGGGCGCCGCACCCGGGATCGGTACAATGGCCCCTCACCCGGAGGGTAAGACCACTTACCTCCCACCAATTTATGGTGCTACAGGAGGGCCCACAGAAAATGGCCCTCCCGTACTCGCCGATACGGCTGGCCCCCGCGGGACAGAAAACCGCCTGGGGCGCTTGGCGACAGAAAAGCGACAGCCGTATCGGTCGAGCAGAAGAAGCGCACCCGGCGCTCAAGGCTACACCTCGGAGGGTACAGAAAACCCTTCCGAGGAAGAAGACACAAGACGTCGCCACAGGGCGACGCGCAAGAACCGCGACGGACGCTACGCGCGATACCGCGATGCCGGAGGGGTCGGTTACCCCTCCGATGATAACCGCGACGGACGCTACACGCGATACCGCGATGCCGGAGGGGTCGGTTACCCCTCCGATGATAACCGCGAAGGACGCTATACGCGATACCGCGATGCCGGAGGAGGTGGATACCCCTCCGATGACGAGGACACCGAGTCGGACGGATCGCGCAGAGGCGACCGCAGAGGTCGCAATGCGCGCGACCGACGTCGGTTCCGGCGAGAAGACTCCGATCCGCAGGGCTACAGTAGCCCCGGCGGAGAAGGAGACCGCCACCGCAGGGCAGAGACCGCCGGTCTGCCCCGAGGCGGGATCCGAAACGGCTGCCGGTGATCAGGCCGCTGAACGACCTGTTCACCAAGGCCGTCGACTACCGCACGTATAGGCTGGAAAATCGCGGCGCGCGCTACGACGCGAGTACCGCGCGGCGAGTTAACCGATATCGGAAGAAGTTGGACGTCCAGCTGAAAACCCACACATTCGGTGGTCAAGATCCAATCGCGGTGCTACGATTTCTCGCGCGCTTCAAGATGGCCTGCGACCACAATGGGGTCAGCGAAGGCGCGGCCGTATGGTGTTTCCAGTTTTATTTGACTGGGCAGGCTCACGCCTTGCTCCAGTCCAGGCTACACGGGAACACCATGGCGGTCGATGCGGAGCAGCGCGATATGCTCGAAACCTACGCGGAAGTTGTTAACTTTTTATTGCGCACGTACGCGACTGACGAAGTTATTTCCGAAGCGGTCGGTGATGTCACCTCCTTCCGTCAGAGCTCTAATATGACGGAGGAGGTGTACAGTAACCAGTTGTGGGACAAGGCGTTGCGCTGCGGAACCGTATTTTCGGACAGGCGCCTGAAGTCCCTTTTTGTTGAGGGACTTCTGCCAGCGACGTGCGCGCAGGTGCGGAATTATCTCGCGACACATCCGGGCGTGGACTACCAAGGGGTGGCACGCTACGCGCAAGCGATAGGCGAGACGCACCGCTCGGCTCGAAGACAGGCGACCTCGCTCGCGTCGCCTCAAGCACCGTCCGATTCCGTGAGAAGATTAACGCGCAACGCGCGGACAAGGCCCGTGCTGTCGGTCGAGTCCCTTTCTGAACTCCCGACAGCGCGCGGAACCGAAACGGAGGAGATACTGGCGGTGACGGACCAGTCGGCGACGCCGAGCTCGCTTAGCTCGCCGCCGACTAGCTACCATCCGTCACCTGCCTCGTCCCCGGCGGGCGCGCCGATGGCGCCCGCCCAACACGGTGACGCGCGCGCACATCCGTACGGAAGGCCAGTACAGAACCAGCGGGTCCGGTTCTTCAACCAAGGATTACCGGGACCCCCGCCGTGCCGGT